TTCTTTGTCCCCAAAATCAATTAATTTTTCCCAAAATCGCATTTTCCCCCCAAAATCCATTGATTTTTTCCCCAAAAATTTTGTCCCAATTTTTTTTTTGTCTCAAAATCTCTTTCCCCCCCTAAATCAGTTTATTTTTTCCCCAAATTTGGGGTTTTTCACCCAAAATCCCTTTATTTTTTCCCCAAAAATCCATTTTTCCCCCAAAATCCATTTCTTTTTCCCCAAAATCCATTCTTCTTGTCCCTTTACTTTCTTTCCCAAAATTGGGGTTTTTTTCCCAAAAAAATCTGTTTATTTTCCCCAAAAATCCCTTTCTTTTTTCCCCAAACCCATTCATTTTTTCCCAAAAAATTCCATTTCTTTTCCCCAAAAAATCTGTTTTTCCCCCAAAATTCATTATTTTTCCCCAAAATCCCTTTCTTTTTTTTCCCCCAAAAATCCCTTTATTTTTACCCAAAACCCATTCATTTTTTTCCCAAAAAATTCCATTTCTTTTCCCCAAAATCCCTTTTTTCCCCCAAATCCTGTTATTTCCCCAAAATTTGTTATTTTTTCCAAAATTGGGGTTATTTTTCCCCAAACCCCTTTATTTTCCCCCAAAAAACCCTTATTTTTACCCCAAACCCCTCCTTTTCCCCAAAAAAATTCCATTTATTTTCCCCTAAAAATCCCTTTTTTTCCCCCAAAACTCCATTCCTTTTCCCCAAAAACTCCGTTTTTCCCCCAAATCCATTTCTTTTTCCCCAAAATCCGTTTCTTTTTCCCCAAAATCCCTTTCTTTTTTTCCCAAAACCCCCTTTCTTTTTACCCCAAACCCCTCCATTTCCCCCCAAAAATTCCATTTATTTTCCCCTAAAAATCCCTTTTTCCCCCCAAATCCATTTCTTTTTCCCTCAAAAATCCCTTTCTTTTCCCCCAAAATTAATTTATTTTTTCCCCCCAAAATCCATTTATTTTCCCCAAAAAAACCCCTTTCTTTTTACCCCAAACCCCTCCATTTCCCCCCAAAAAAATCCATTTATTTCCCCCAAAAATCCCTTTTTTCCCCCCAAAACTCCATTCCTTTCCCCCGGCCCCGTCCTTTCCCCAAATCCGTTCCTTTTTCCCAAACCCCATTTTTTTGCTTTTGCCCAAAATCGCCTTTTTTGGCCCCAGGAGCAGCTGCTGTTCTGCGACGACTGCGACCGCGGCTACCACATGTACTGCCTGAGCCCGCCCATGGCCGAGCCCCCCGAGGGTACTTTGGGGCGTTTTGGGGCATTTTGGGCATTTTTGGGCATTTTGGGGCATTTTGGGGCATTTTGGGAGAAATTTTGGGAGAAATTTGGGAGGATTTTGGGGGGGTTTGAAAGGATTTTGGGGCATTTTTGGGGGGATTTGTGGGGGTTTCGTGGGGGTTTTGGAGGGAATTTGGGGAATATTTTGGGGGGTTTTGGAGGGAATTTGGGGGATTTTGGGGCATTTTGGGGATTTTGGGGCATTTTGGGAGGATTTTGGGAGGATTTTGGGAGGATTTTGGGGAATATTTTGAGAGATTTTGGATAAGATTTTGGGGGATTTTTGGGGGTTTCGTGGGGGTTTTGGTGGGATTTTGGGGAATATTTTGGGGGGTTTTGCAGGGAATTTGGGGGATTTTGGGGCATTTTGGGGCATTTTAGGGGGATTTTAGGGGAATTTGGGGGGATTTTGGGGAAGATTTTGGGAGATATTGGAGAAGATTTTGGGGGATTTTTGGGGGTTTCATGGGGGTTTTGGAGGGATTTTGGGG